GCCACCAGGGAGGGCCTGATCCCAGTTATTTTTCACACCTCTCAAAGGTCAACAGAATAATTATTGGAAAATAGGTATCTACTCTCGTACTCCCATTAGTTAGATCAACATGAAATAACAGAGAATTCTTTTTAAAGATTTATTTATACATACAGAATTGGATGCAGGGGTATGAGAGGATTCACCAGAGACAGAGTGGAGAGCAGAACAAGCAGATGGAGGAATACACTGCTGAAGGTAATAGCGAGCCAGGCAGGAGAGGTCTGCTTTGCCATGTGGGCCACATCCCTGACAGGGAATCGAACTTGAGCTGAAGCTGCTGCGGCTAGCTTCACAGTGCTATGCTTTAGCCCATTGTGCTACCAGGGAGAGCCCAAGATCTGGAGGATTTGAGAAAATGGAGACATGTAGATATTAAGTAAGCATTAAACCAATTAATCATTACATTAACCCCCATCATTTGCTAGCCAGGAAATGCTCCTATTGGACCTCAGTAATACTGGGATATTGGGTAAACAGAATCATTTTTAGCCAAAATGGATACAGTTACCTGGTTTAATTAAAGTAAATCTAAAATGATAAAGTACCTCCTTTGTCTTTAATCCCATGATGCATTAAGCATAAAGCGCTTATTTCATTCTAATCTGGGACAATTTTTCTAAGATTCACAATAATCACAATGCATGCTATGCTCCACATGAAGAAAATATTCAGTACATTTTCCTAAATATTACTACTTCAGATTGTAATTTAATTCTGAATTTTAGTTAAGTTACTCATCATTTTAGTATCATATCCTTTTTAAAAACTGCTGTATTTCCTAAATGTTGTTTTCCTAAAAGTTATAGTTCAGGAAGAAACTGACAAGTATTGGTTGTGTCATTGATCAGGAGCAGATACACTTGAGCAAAGATGCCATCTGTTAAAAAGTACTTGACTTAATCTCAGGTTACAGAGCTAAAGGTGCTAAAGTTACCTTATGTATTTAGAAGATTGGATACAATGTCTTATCAATGGCATGTTCTAAACATTTCAGTCAAGGTGTTTGGTGAACAAAAATGCTACCTGTCAATACAAACCAGCTGACACTGGTGCAGCCACTGTTCCTCCTTGCCTCTAGGAACTAACCCTTACTGTACGTCTTCCCTCATTACTTCAGATCATCCAGTGACTCCCTCAACTCAAATGATCCAAGGCTTAGTGGACTTTACAGTGAAATTTATAGTGGTTTTTCTGATTGACATTCTCCAAAGATGGAATGTGAGCATGTTATGATGTATAAAGGTTGCAGTCAGTGAGTAGGTTACCAGGACACTTTAGAAAAAGAAAAGGCCATAAAATACTTTCACTTACAAAGTAGTGCTTATTAATCGTGAGTTTGGAATGTGGGGAGAAATAGTCCCTAATACTGGGAATAACATATACATAGGTGAAACTTTCATCATTCTCTTTATTTTTAATATATATACAGAACACAGACAGTTTTAGGTATTTAGTACAGAGTATATTTTCACCTTCACTAAAAAGGGAAGAAATAAGTAAAAATGCTACTCAGATATTCTTGTAGTGTCATTCACACAAAACTTCCATAATGTAAGACTTCAGCATATTAAAACTCATGTGCAATTGAAACTCATTCTTGGTGTATTTCACAGATGATGAGACAGTTCTTATCCTTCACTGATTAGAAAGGTACTTAAAAAGTAGATCCATTCATATCAGCATAAGTCTTTAAGCAAAACTCTGAGGGTCCCTTAAATAACTATAAGTCTTTAGAGGTAATCTAGATTCAAGTTCCCAAACCCAACTCATCATTAAACACAGACTTCATGGGCCTCTCTTCATACTACTGTCTAAATCAAAGACAGGGAAAGTACCTATTTTCAAGTACTCACTAGCTTTGTTACTCTAGCCAAGTTACTAGCTCCAATTTCATCATGTAAACTGCTAGGGCAGAATTATTAGTTAAACACTTTAGTATTCAGTGGTTCACCACATAAATGGAAACTATGAAGTTAGAACTAGAATCCTTTTACTGCAATTGCAGTCCTTGCATGCCTTTCCCTGGCTCAGTTGAAATGCCATCACTTACATCCTACTGGAGTACAGAACCTAAATTGTTAATGCATCTTTATGGATTGCCATTTTATTTTTTTGTTAAATTTTTGACTATAACTTTTATTTTTTTTGCACCACCAGCGTGACTAAAACTTTTAGACTTCATTATTCAGAGAAAGTATGACTGGCTATAAGAAAATCACATCCATGCATGAGTGTTTCCAAAGACTCATACAACTTTTCCAGGTAGTCCTGTTGTTCCTTTCCAATTGTTAACTAAAAATTCTGAATTTATGAATTTCCCAGGCTGACTTTTTGCTATCTCTTTGAGCCTAAAACACATCTCTTTTTGTCAGTTCACTTTGCAACGTATTATTACAAAAATGTTTGACTCTTATGGTGGTGTATAAATGTAATTCAAAGGGTTTATGTTTTTGTTTTTGTTTTTTCTTTTAACTGTTGACCTATTTTTAGGTGCACTGATGCTGAAGGACTATGAGCTTTCAGAAGTTCTGGAAAGACTATAAAGTTCTGATTGTTATGGTGCCTGTAGTTGGACTCATACACTTGGGGTGGCACAAAATCAAAAGCAGCCCTATTTTTCAAGTACCTAATAACAACAACGTTCCTGAACCAGATAGTCTGGCACTTGCAAATCCCCAGAAGAGCCGTGTCCAGGGGAGATAGCAGACTTGCAGTCTTCAGGTAAGCTTGATTGTTTGGTTAGGAAAACCAAATGGTATGTTTCACCAAATGGAAAACATGATCATTAAAAAAGCAAGGTACTCTGTCACACACACACACAAAAAAAATCCTTAAGTTGCTGAGATGGAAAAATGCACAAAAATATGTAAAAATAAACTAATATAATTTTTTTAAAAAATCCTTAAATTGATAGGTAACTTGTTTTTCTTGTGCCCCACTGGCAAAATATTTTTCTACAGTTGCTTCCAGAAAAGTTTGTTGCAACAAAACCTTTGACACTTGGCAGTTTTTGGATGAAAAGAGAAATGGCAGTCAGCCTATATTACTTGTTCTGGACTTTCTGCACGGCAATTTTACCAGAATCATGCACTTATCCAAAGAAGCAGTCTTCTTTACTGTAAATACATTCTAGCTCTTACAAATCTGTTACTTGCAAAAAGAGGTTCTTTATTATTCTAATATTTTCGAAGGCAAAACTAATTGTATTCATCATTTTTGTATACAAAATAATATGTTACTATTATATTGAAATAAGAGGATCAAGTTATATAATTCAGATTTTAGAATCCTTTTTCCATAATTCCAAAACTCAGAAATCCAAAAAGTTTTGTCACAAATGCTTTGGTAACAGAACCCAATGTTAAATGACATATAGCAATATGCAGTCTTTATGTCACTGCAGAAATTGTTTGATTATTAATGTTATACTATGCTATTATGGCTATTAAACACTATTATTTTCATTATGGATGCTATACGCTGCATTTCTAAAATGTAAGAAACTCATTTGGCCCCAGATAGAGAAATATCCTCTAATTGCGGAGGATGTTCTATTTAAATGAAACTTATGACCTTCAAGTGAGTAATAGTAGGCCTTAAACTCCTCACAGAAGAAGAATCTCAGATTTTATTTTTTCACATATAAAAATAGTACTAGTTAGAGGGAATGCAAAGTTGAGATTAGGAATTACACTAAAACATTAAAGTAAATGTAAGTGACTTTAGATGCCATTGTTACAGTAGTTTTACAGTCAAAGTTAGAAGGTAGAAGCCACTATTAACAGTCAAGCATGCAAAAGCAGATACTAACACAAACAATGGGGGAGCAGAAATAAGTTAAACACTGCTTCTTAACAGTTGAAGTCTACCAAAAGAATGAGCCTATTGTCGTCTTTCCATTTACTTTTTATTATGAAAAATTGCAAACATTCCCAAAACAGGGAGAACATAGTATATTATACTAGTGAATCCATAGCTAAACTTTAAACTTATCAACATTTTGTCAATCTTTTGCCTTTCCCTCTCCCTTTTAATTGTTAGACTATCTTACAGCAAATCTCCAGCTTCCATATATCTATTCTTAACAATTAAGAATAAACATTATGTGATCACAGTGCATTATCACACTGAAAAAATTAATGGCAGCTCCTTACTACCATTTCATAGCTAGGATTGTATTCATATTTCCCACTTTGTCCCCCAAAAGTCTCCTTTTATAGGTGACTTAGGGTCCGAAGTCAATACACAATGTACTTGACAGATGTTTCTTGGAGCTGTTCCATTTCCCTCCCCAATATGCCTTTTTAAAAATTGTCCACATTCTGAATTTAGTGGATTTAGTCCTTATTTTATCATTAAACAAATTCCTCCCTCTCCCATATTTGCTATAATTAGTAATTAGGTAAGGAGACTTGTTTTGGCTCTGTTTCATTTTCTTTTTGGTCTACATCATACTCTGCCAATTCTACTTCAATCTGACTAGTTAAGTTAGTTTTACTTATACAGATACTACCCAAGTGGTTACCAAACTTGAAATTATAGTTATCCTGAAATTAACTATTAATCAGCTGAACCTTCGCCTTTAACTTACTTAGCTTCAACAGCCTCATGATCTGAAATTTTGATTCTTTCCATATATCATTAAAATGTCAGAACTTTATACCTTAAGTCACATTATGTAGCCTTATTAAGGAAGCTGATACAAGTGCCAGTGCAGTTGGCATATATGATAACTAGTTAAACTTACCAAGGTCAAGCTTACAAATCAGACCATTTAGAACAAAGACTAAAAACGTGAATATTTAGTCTAACTTGATTTACATTTCTCATTTTATAGAGGGTTTTACCATAAAATTCTGTTTTCTAAAGAAGAAACAGAACATTAAAGTACTAAACTGCAATCTAGAATATTTTGAAATTATTTCTCTACATTGCTTTATTTTTGTTTCTTACAGAAAGCAGCAGCTTTGAATCTGAGCTTGATATTGAAAGAAGAGATGAAAAACACCAGTTGGATTAGAAAGAACTGGCTTCTTGTAGCTGGGGTTTCTTTCATAGGTGTCCATCTTGGAACGTATTTTCTACAGTGGTCTGCAAAACAATCTGTGAAATCTCAGTCTATAGGCAAACAGAAGAATATCGAAGAATGAAATAAAATTAATATGTCATTAAATCTCTATATACTGATTACCTTCATAAATATGGAGCTGTTTAATTTTATAGCTACATATTTAGACTTTTGTTCCTAAAGAATAATTTTTTTCAAATGTTACAATCCATGACAAAATGCAATAAATAGATAACTGGTTAACAAAATAAAAGCTGTCTTTGCAAATTACTAGGTCAAGTAAGATGTCTCGTTTAGAAGCTAAAAAGCCATCGCTGTGTGAAAGTGAACCACTGTCAAGCGAGAGATTCAGGACCACACTTTCTGTCTTTAAAGGAATTGTAACATCGTGCTATGGCCCGACAGGTCGGCTGAAGCAGCTGCACAATGGCTTAGGTGGCTCTGTATGTACAACTTCACAGTCATCAGCTCTGCTTGCTAATCTTTCCGTCACCCATCCTATTTTAAAGATCTTGACAACTTCCCTGCAAAATCATGTGTCGTGCTTCAGTGATTGTGGCTTATTCACAGCCATTCTTTGCTGCAACCTAATTGAAAATGTTCAGAGAATAGACTTGACACCCACCACCATCATCAAATTAAATAAGCATCTTTTGAGCCTCTGTACCAACTATCTCAAGTCTGAGGTCTGCTGTTGTCGAATCTCAGTTGACTTTAGTAGTACTCATCTGCTCCTTTGCTTGGTGCGCAGTATATTAACCAGTAAACCTGCCTGTATGCTTGTCAAAGAGGAAATAGACCATATTAGTACTTTGATTTTGAAAGCCTTTTTGCTTACAATTCCAGAAAGTGCCAAAGACCACATCATTTTAGGAAGGACTATCATTGTACCTTTAAAAGGTCAAAGAGTTATAGATTCTACTATATTGCCTGGAATACTTATTGAAGTATCAGAAATTCAAATGATGAAGATAGTACCTATTAAAAAATCAGAGACCCTGAAGGTGGCCCTCTTTTGTTCATCTTTATCTGGTGACCTTTCTGATACTGGGGAAGGAACTGTGTTGGTCAGTAATGGGGTTTCTCTTGAAAATGCAGTCCTGGAACAGTTGCTTAATCTAGGAAGGCAGCTAGTGAATGATCATGTAGATCTTGTCCTGTGCCAAAAAGTTATACACCCATCTTTGAAGCAGTTTCTCAGTGTGCATCATGTAGTTGCCATAGACAGAGTTGGAGTGGCTGTTATGGAACCCCTGAGTAAAGCAACAGGTAAAAAGCATTCTTGACTTTGGCCCTTATCCTTAACAAATAACATTTTCCTTGAGCAGAGCTTTTCTTACTTTTTGTCACTGCTAACATCTTGAAAATTTTTAGAAGATGTCAACCTCTCCAAGTTTGAATATTATGTTCAGCAGCAAAAGTGTTTTTTTCTGAAAAAGATGCTATATTATTCACTTGTCAAAAACAGTGATTAGGGCTATTCTCTATGTGTTTTTTTAGCATCAAATGTACTACACTACCTGTCATAGTCTAAAACTTCATCTGCAAATACTTTATAGATCATGGAGAAATCTAACATCTGCATAGTCATACAACGTTTTTCATACTTCAAGTAAAATTCTATTTAGTTTTATGAAAGTCTCTGATCATGTCATATTCAGAAAGTAATTTTATAGATAGAATATTCCCTCTTCACTTATGTAATTCCAACAAACAGCTGTACTCTGCCTAAATAGTGGTTTTTAATTATGTGAGTGTGCTCTAGCTCTAAATAGCTCAACTATTTCCAGATGAACTCCTTGAAAACTGGCTTCATCTTTTATTTTCAGCACTTAAGACTAATCTGATCTACAATGGGTATTCTCAGATGCTTGCTGAATTGACCATATGTTTAGTAACCAAGAAATTCACTGTATTTCACTAACTTAGCAAGTATAGGTTGATAATCTGTTAGAGCCAATGAAAAATGACAAGGTGAAGAATTCCTGATTTTAGTCACTATTAAATAAAATGTTGACAGCCTATCAGATGATTATTTCATTCTGATTGCTGTTTTTTAAGTTATTAAACCAATGTTACCATTTGCTATATAGTCTGTAAATCATGAAAAAGGAATATTATATATGCTAAGTGTTGAGTACATAAAATGAAAATTATGGAAATAGTTCTGTAAAATTCATGTTGATATGGATCAGATGCAAATATTTACTGGCTTTTCATAAATCAGGTGATTTCCAGCTAATGAATATTGGTTAGCACACTTTTAAAATGTAAAGCATTTGCCTGTAGAAAAGATTGAAATTGGGAACTGACTTTCCATGCCAGTCCAAGGTTGTTATTTACCTCTAAATAACCAGACCTTTAATTTTAGATCTTTGGAGTAGAGATCTTTTGAGATAAAAGGAGGTGGGAGGGTATGAGAATGGAAGCAAGACTTTAGCAGGCCTATGGCTCAATAGACTTAGTATGTTAGGAACATACCCATCTTCCCTGGCTTATCTAGATTAATGTTACTTCCTTCCTCCCTCTTGAAAAAAAAATTCCTATTTTTTGGTGATGGACTTTTAAGTAGTTAATTGTTACTGTGCTTGGGCCACTAGTGTATCAGAAGGTTATCATGATTTACAGAGCATTTTTCACATTCAATTTGGTTTGAATTTTTTGTAAACATTATTACCCCTATTTTGCTCTCTTATGGGGAAATCCACCCAGAAAAATGAAATGACGTAGATCCAATCAACATCCAATGACTAAGATCGTTTAAACCAGATCTCAATATGGGTTGTCTTTTCCAGCATGAGATTATGAAACATTAAAGCTTTCCCCCCACCCTCCTACACCTCAGCTTAAAATGCGTATCACTCATGTATTCCTTAGTTTTGAAAGCTTCAGAAGTCAAAAGAGTGAAATTGTTCGGTAGTTATTTTCAAGGTTCTTACACTTTTTATTTTAGCTGGAAGTATTTTTAGCTGGCAATGTTTTAATCCCATTAGCTTGCAAGAAACTGTCTTAAATGTTAGCTAGGAATCTGGCATAAAGGGATGTATTACTCAGAATTAGTTTTAATTTTAGGACTTCAAAGTAGCATTTTTTTCTACACAAGTTTGGTGTACGAGTTTCTTTTCATACAACAGAAATTTGGGAAGTTTTCAAGACTTCCTGACTTCTTGTTTTCTCCTGTTTTTACTAATTTGTGTATTGGAAATTTTCCTATTTTACCTATACAGGAGCAAAAATCAGAAGAATAACAATGAAATCAGAATGTCACAATTTATGTAGGCACAGTTTAATTTAAATAACTTTTGGCATACAAACAGTTGGGGGGGGAATTACAAAACCAACTATATTGCAGCTTCGATAGCTTAATTTGCATGTTTTAAGGTGAAGATAATGCCTTAAAAAAATTATCCTCTGTATTTACATCATCTTTATATTAGTGGGGTTAACTTTGAGTCGCTGTTCCCTTAATAGGTTTCCACGGCTCCTAGACTCCTGAAAAATGTAAGCAATATTAACTGTGCTTTTTTTCTGAAGAAGTCTGTTGGCCAAAAGACTTTGTTTACTAGCAGAATACTACCTATTTGGTAGCTTAAGATGTACCTTTCATAATTTTTTGTGCTTCTGGAACTTTTTGTATTGACTAGGAAGAAACAATTTTAAATGATTATATTTTTTGTTCTATAAACTGAAAAATAGGAACACAGCCTATTGCTTCACTGGACTCAGTCTCTCCTAGTAGCTATGGAAGTGTGAAAGATTTATGCTCCACAAAATTTGGCTCCAAGCATTTTTTTCATCTTCTTCCCAATGAAGCAACTGTCTGCAGCTTGCTTCTCTGCAACAGAAATGATACTGTCTGGGATGAGCTAAAGGTAAGTAATAAACTTTGAATTCTGTATCCATGGGCTGAGGCAAAGATTAAATAGTCACTTAGAAAGACACTAAGTTTTTGTATATCAATGAACTATTTTTTTATAACTTTACATGGTATCAAAAGCACAAACTACAAAAATGAAAGAATTAAAATTATCAGTTCATTTAATTGTCTGAAAACAGTAGACTTGGCATGTGTACCATTTAGTATTTCTAGTATTTACAAGCAATCTGAGGTGAGCCTTCCTTGAGAAATTAACTCAAAATGTGTATTGTTTGATAACAAATATATATGAGTAATTCAGTAATTCAGTGAGTTATTTAAGTATACCCACCACCTGCCTCAATAGAATTTGTTCTCTAATAGCAGTAACACATGCATAATATAAGGGAAGTGTTAACCTATGATATAGGTCATATAGGCTTGAGAATTCAGGTATATTCAAGGAAATTACCTTGGAGAGTATTAAGGTTTTAGTGTTTTTCTTCTAACTATAATAAGTATTGCCATCCTATCATTTCCATAGCAACTTTGAAATAAATCCTATACCATTTAAATAATTTTTTAATTTATTTATTTACGCATACAGAAATGGGGTACAGGCCCGAGGTGCAGGGGCGGTGAGAGGATCCACCAGAGACAGAGTGGGGAACAGAACAGGCAGATCACTGAAGTACGCTGCTGAGGGGAGCAGCGATCAGTCAGGAGAGGTCTGCCGCCCATGTGGATCACCTCGGGGGCAGGCGGGGATCAACTCATGTGAAAGTGGCTTTAGCTTCTTAGTGCTATGCTTTAACCCACTGTGCCACCAGGGAGGACCCTAAACAAATAATTTTTAAACAATTTTTTAGTAAAAGTACTGGTACATATTGCTGAGCCAGATACTAGGATTTTACCCATTTGTAAATCTTAATTTGATAGCCAAGTGTATATGAAAGTATTAATCAGGTTCACAAAAACAAAACCTGTTTAAAATACTTTTATTCAATCTCTGATTTTTAATATTCCAAAATGTATTCACATTACAACATTGGCAACAAAGATTTGTTTCTTTGCCATTAAAAGTAGGCTCTTTGAATTCTTTATCTAAGTTGCCTTAGGATAGGACATGGTTATATTTCTTTGTGCATCTATATAAGTGTCTGATTCTGATGATGTGTTTCTTTTTTTTTAGCGCACATGCCAAGCAGCACTGCATGCTTTGCAGTTAACAATCAAGGAACCGTGCATGTTGTTGGGAGGTGGCTGTACTGAAACTCATTTGGCTGCATATATCAGATACAAGGTAGGGTACATATTCCTCAGATTATCTAAATTCTCAGAAACATTAGTTTTATGAGATAATAATCCAAATCATAATACCCTGGAGACTTTAATGCTCAGTTTCTCAGTAGTATAACTTGAAAGCATTTTTGAAAATAACGTATATAAATACAGAATAATATCTTTATTACAATGATTAGTATATAAATTATCTAATCCTTTTGCAAATGATCACATTCTTAGAATATTATCTAATTTCATTGCATGTTGAAATGAGCATTCTGTTCATGAGAGTTCTCAGAAATCTAACCTGCTGTGGTACAGCCATAATTGATACTTACATTGAAAGTTTCAAGTCTTCAAAATACTTTAATGCCTTTTAGATCATTAAGGAAATACTTTCATTTACTAAAGCATTCCAAGTATTGATTGGATTCTACTATAATTTTAATTGGTATTCATTTATAACAAATGTTAATTCTATTAGACAGACTGTGTTTGATTAGGAAATTCCATTTTGTGACAATTATTAGGTGAATTTAGTACATTATAATTCTGATTGATTATTTTGTAAATACTGACCTTCTTTATTTAAAAATGAATAGAAAAAGGTATGTGTTTTCCAAATACTTAGAGTTGATTATTGTGTTGGACAGGAATGTTATCAACAGATATTGCAATACTGCTAGCTAATGACTAGGATTGGTGAGAATATAAATACCTTTTATAGAAATGCCCTGCGCTGCTTCCCCAAATAATTTAAAATGTGCTTAATCAGAAAGTCCATTCATGAAAAGTTATCAGTATAAATAAGTACTTCTTTTGGGATATAGTCTTCAGGAGCTGCATCCTGTGTGCATTGATGAGTGAATGAGTAAAGAAAATGTGAAATACCGACACACGCTGGTATTAAAAATGGAATGGAACCTTATCATTTGTGATAGCAGTGGGTAAACTATTCCCCTTTCACACAAACACACACTGGAATATTATTCAGCCACAAAAAGAAGGAAACCTTGCCATTTGTGCAACATAAGTAGGCATCAGAGGAATTATACAAGTGAAGTAAGACAGAAAAAGATAGTGTATGATCTCACCTATACTTGAAAACTTAAAAACAAAGATAAAAAGACCTCACTGACACAGAAAACAAATTGGTAATTGCCAGAGTCAGGGGTGGGAGGGTTTACAAGGTACAAACTTAAAAACAAATAAATGATGGGGATGTGAATACAACATGTGACCTGTAGCCAATAGCACTGTATTTCATATTTGTAAGTTAGGAAAACTTTACTCTTAAAAATTTTCATCACAAGGAAGAAAAATCTTATAACTGTGTTAGCTAGACTTATTGTGATGATCATTTCACTATGTGTATGTAAATATCGAATGATTATGTTATATACCACAAATACATGTTAATGTCAATTGTGATTCAGTAAAATGTTGTTAGATACACATTGTGGTAAACAAAGTTAGTGCCAATGTATTGATTCTGAGTAGACAGTGACATAATGTATAAATGGGATAGAATAAGCTACAAAGTGTTTTGGAGGAGGAAGATGCCTGGAGTAGGATGTTGCAGTAACAACATCATGTGAAAGAGATGGTGGGGGAAAGGAAGATCTGCAACAGAGATGCTCTCATCTGATTGAAATTTTATAGGAAAAAAAATACCTTAAAATGGCCACTGTTTTCAAAAGTTGTATCTCTTAACAATAATTCACTTATTGGTTTGTAAATGTATTATTTTTCTTTCTGTCATGAAATTTATAAGACAAACATTTTAGAATCATGGAACCAAAAAAATATTATCTCTACCTTATTTATTTTTTTAATATTGATATGAGAATTATATATGACTCTTAATGTTCTTTGTCTTAATAATAAAATGTATTGTCATTTAAAACACATCTCTAAGGTTAAGAGGACTGTAAACTGGTCAGCTAACTCATACATATAGAAACCCCTAAATAAATGAAAAAAATAGCTATATGAGTAAGAGTTGGATCAAATACTTTATTTTTTTCTGAAACATTTTTATAATTTGCTCAATATGTGTTTTCAATGGTTTTATCACTCTTTAGATTTGTAATGAGCCAGAGAACATTCTCAAAGATAATGGATGTACTCAAATAGAACTTCAACTAATTGCTGAAGCATTTTGCAGTGCACTGGAATCTCTCGCTGGCTCTTTGGAACATGATGGAGGTGATATTCTCACTGATATGAAGTATGGACACTCTTGGTCCGTTCAGGCAAATTGTCCCTCTGTTGACTGGCAAGATTTGCTTTCAAGATGTGGCTGTGGACTATGCAAAAGCCAGGAAGAGCTTAGCTGGTCTTTCTTAAGGAGTCCTCACAATTCTTTTATGCCACAAACCTGCCTTCCACAGGAAGCTGTAAGCTCAGCCACCAACCTAACCTTGGACTGTTTTGCTGCTAAGATTAGTGGCCTACAAGTGGCTGTGGAAACTGCCAACTTGATTTTGGACCTTTCATATGTCATTGAAGATAAAAACTGATGTAAGAGAACACTATATTCTATTATAAAGAAAGAAAAACTTAAAAACCACTCAGGTGTCAAGAGAAATACTGAACAAAGTTGTTGTCTCCCAAATGCCTGTTCTTTATATTTGGACAGGAGATTCATAAGATTATAGATTCATTTTCTTATGGAAAAAAGGTATGATTCTTGAGTGAAAATACTAGAGAATAATAAAAATGTGAAACATTGTGATTAAAGATATTGTAGTTATCTTAGGGATTCCATACATACCACTGTACATTGTGTCACTGGTATTATTTTTACATCACTCTAAGAATATACAGACATCTACACTCCAGTTAAAGTACAAAATTAAATTCCAATGTATCAAAAAATACATATTGCTCAATCCAAAGAAGTGCTCAAAATGCACATTTAGTAAATTCACTTTCCTCAATATTCTTTGTCTGAAACTATGTCATTCATGTCAGGTGTTGTAAAGCCTGGCTTAATTGCAACTGCTAATTTGTAGCACAGTTTTTGAATTTTTGTCATTTTGAGAAAATGTGTGATTAGAAATAAGAATAGGTTTTTATAGTTACTAAGGTAGAAACAACTTTGTAATCTCTTCACATTTAAAGCAGTAGGAAATACTAGTTTTTCAATGAACGGAACAGTTCTCAATTTTGGCACTGTTGACATTAAAGACAGGTAAATATCTGCAGTGTTGTGCTGTCCTGTGCATCACCAGAGGCTTAGCAGCATTCCTCCAGTGGACACTAGAGCACAGTCCAGGGAAGACAAATCACAGATAATTCCAGATGTTGAGAAAATTGTTTTTGATTGTGAACTGTTCGTTGATAGAAAAGGAAGGAAAGCAACACAGGGAAAGAGTGGAAATTATTTCTCTAGTTTAGTCAATAGTGCTAAAATGAAAACTAGAATGGGTCCTGTAATTAAAGTGGAGACACTCATGTTTCACTAAGGAGTGCAATTTGAATTTTATGCAATAAAGATATGGCTATAAAGTGTGGGAGACTGACAAGATTTCCTTAGCAATAGCCTTTACTTCAGTGAAATTTATGATTTTCTTTTGTATAAGAACAAAAGACAGAACCTGAAGGTGGCAGTACTTTTGCCCAAACCTTAAGACTGGAACATGGAAGGAAAGTGACAACCTGGAACCTCTATTTCCTACCATAGAATGGGACAGTACATCGAGGCAGAAAACCTTTACCCACACTCAAGTAAGAAATTTTCAACAACACGTAAGGACTATAAGATGGCCACGAAAAGCCTACCACAAGTTCAGATTCGAGGCCTGAGAGGAACAGCACATCAGACATAAACAAAACGTGGCACAGAAGGAAATAGCAAAAACAAAATCCCAAGAGGGAAACCAAATGAAAAGCATGACTAGATTTTACTTCTCAAAAAAAGCTTTAAGAAAGAAAAGTCCTGAAAATGTAAGTAAAAGTCTAGGAAGACAACACCTTCTTTTGGGAGTAAGAGTAAAGGTTGTGTGAGAAATGAAAATAAATGGTTCAATCAATATGAAGACAAAATTCTCAGTCCAGAGTAACCAAGACGTAAGCTTCACCAGTATCCAAATCTCACTTCCCAAAGGCTTGGACAGAAAATTCCTACATTACTAACACCAAGCAATGAGATTTAAGAACAAAGTCTTAAGAGACAAATAGGAAATACAGAAAATAAGTACCTTCTTGGAGCGAGCAAACAATATGAAAAGATAAAATTTTTAAATCCCCAAGTCATACTAAACTAGCTCATTCAGTTTCTTCCTTTGATCCATCTTCAATTTAGAGAGAGAAATAAAAAGATTTCTCACCACTTTTTCCCATTAGATTTCTGCAGATAGAAAGAACAGGAATCTCACTTGATCAAAATCATTACTTTCTTTGCAAATGTGTTCAGAAGTCCTAGTTCTCATCCCCTGAGATACTAACAGTTCCATCTATTTATTAGGGATCCTGACTAGTTCACCAAATTGCAGGCCTACAGGAAATCACCCCCCATATTCCTCTGGGTTCTTCTAGGCTGGTAAATAATCAAACAAGTATTAGACAAACTGATGAGAAAAAAAGCAAAAAGAAGTTAAATAATAACATGGAGACCCTCCCTGGTGGCGCAGCGGGTTGGCGCTGCACTGCGAAGTAAGCCAAGCCGTGGCGGCTTCAGTGCAAGTTCGATCCCCACCCCAGAGGTAATCCACACAGCATAGCAGACCTCTTCTGTCTCGCCCACTGCTCCCCTCAGCACTGTACTTTGTCGATCTGCCTGTTCTGCTCTCCACTCTGTTTCTGGTGAGTTCTCTCACTGCCCCTGCACCTCTGGTCTGTACCCCATTTCTGTATGCATAAATTGTAAAAAAATAGCATGTATTCCATTTACATACAGTAAGAAATATCCAGCATGATGGAGTAACTTGGCTACGTAATTGTATATATAAAATAGTGCTCCCCACTCTCTCTGGTGAATCCTCTCACTGCCCCTGCACCTCTGGCCTGTACCCCAGTTTGGTATGCATAAATAAATCCTTTTAAGAAAAAAATAGTTTCGCTGAGGTGGAAGGACTTTGGTGGGTAAAAGGGAAGGTCAGTTAAGAGAGGTTACCAGAAGAGGCACTGCAGACGAAGATAGGCATATTTAATTTCTGCTTTTTCCATTGAAAAAGAATAAAGAGACTAGGTCTTCTTCCTTCATTCATTACAGAGAGAAGTTTTCATGTAAATATCATTCTCAAACGCATCCTCCACCCAGCCTTCAGAGCCCCTCCATGAAATCAAGCTTTTGCCAAAAAATTTGTTTTGAGGTGACAGATCTTTTGCTTCCCTACAGAAAGAAATGCTAGTGTCACAGATGAGGTAATTTTGTGGGGGGGGGGGGGCGTTTAAGATTGAATCATTTAAAATTTACATGGGATGAATTTGACAGGGGAGGCAGTTAAAGGAAGGTATTTATGCTTACATACTTTAAAATGTTTTTAAAATGTACCCTTCTTCCCATCTGCATCTCCTTCTTACCTCTTAGCCACCAGCAGTGCACCTGAACAAGACAGTAGGTGGTTCAAGAGTTTTCATTCACCCATATTAGAAATTCCTCCTTTTTCTTCATGTAGCAATGCTTTAATCAATCATGGAAATTGAGTTAAATCATGTAGCAATGCTTTAATCAATCATGCCCAAGTAATGAAACTCCAATAAAAATTGTAGGCACTCAACAAATTAGTTCTTCAGAGAAACAAACCCAAAGGAAATATCTCTTAACCCCGGGTCAGCCAGGCAACGGTAGTCTCGAAGTGAGGGCTGGGAGTGATAATGAACCAGGCACACACACACAACACACGATTTGCAGGCAAAAGGAAGCTCCTTTATTGTTCTGATTCCCTCATATATTCCACAGTCCTCCCACCCTTACTTTTTCACACCCCTTGTTTGTACACCGTCTGTGCATTTAGTCCTGCCAGCAAAAACACTCCCTTTCGATACAAGAGACCCTTGTTCTTTAAAAGCCCACAATGTTTCCTTCTAGTCCTTCAGTAACCTCGACTCCACAGCTCTCCACAAATATCTGTATGTATTCTTTTTTTTTTTTTTTAAGATTTATTTATTTGTGCTTACAGAACTGGAGTACTCAGGGGCAGCAGCGAGAGGCTTCACCAGAGACAGAGTGGGGAGCAGAACAGGCAGATCGACGAAGTACACTGCTGAGGGGAGCAGTGAGCGGGTCAGGAGAGGTCTGCCACGCAGGCGGGAATCGAACTCATGCGGAAGTGGCTTTAGCTTCTTAGTGCTGTGCTTTAACCCACTGCGCCACCAGGGAGTGCCTATCTGTATGTATTCTTATATATATTTCTATACCTAAATCTATAGATAGCTTTACTATGTAGAGGATATAGATATATCTTTATCCTCTATATAGAGAGATTGCCTTTGAAAGGTGACCTATAAGGAGTTAACTCATGTTATGATGGAAGCTAAATTCAAATTCTGCAGTTATCCACTTGGAGACCCTGGATTTCATGATCCGAGGGTTGTACTGAAACTATAAATCCTAATCCAAGGGCATGAGAAGATTAATGTCTCAGCTCAAAGGTAGGCTGAGACAAAAGATCCTGTCTTATGGAACTTTTTATTCTACTCAGGCCTTCAGTGGATTGGCTGTAATTTACAATCTGTTCTACTCACTATCAATTCAAATGTCAATCTCATCTGGAAACACTTCACGTGCATACACCCATAAACGTTTAATCAAATATTGGTCACCACATGGCACACTCAATCTGACACATAACTATTGCTCTGAGACTCAGTGGAGTTTCCTGATTGGCAAATACATTGATGTGAAGTGAGGGAGACACACCCAAATTCTGTGAAGAGAGAACATAGAAGCTGTGTTACCAACCCCCCTCCTTATCCTCAGTCACCCCTTTGTCTTGCACCATTTGTCTCTGGTTTTTCCCTACCTAGTATTTATAATAACACTTTTGAGTTTTGTGAATCATTCTAGCAAATTATTAAAACTGAGGATTCTTGGAATCTCTATTTGTAACTGGTTGTCCAAAATTAAAGATGCCCTGGAGACCCCATTTATTGCTAGCACTTGAAGTGGGAGCATCCTGTGGAAAATTAGTCATTCACCTGGGGTATTTGCATCCATTCTAAATAGTGTCAGAATTGAATTATGGGCACTCAGTCGATGTCACAGAATTGGTGTCAGTCAGTCATGCCTTTTGACATTGGTTCTGCTACAGTTACCAAATTGCCCTTTATGTTCAAATCCTTATTTGTCTTAAAGGTGGATTTTAAATATGTATTAGCCAGCCACACTACATACTACAGATAGCTTATAGGTATCACAGTATACTTAGGAAGTTCTCTATTTATATCGCCAAATCTCTATTTTCCAATTTTTACCAAATTCCCAAGCTACCCAGTGAATATTTGTAATTTCCACTCCACATGATTTCCTATTCTGTCTTAAGTTTTAAGGATCATGGAGGCCTAGGCAGCACTTTTTCCTGACAGGTTGGAGTGTTCTGTTCTGGCAAAGATAAATTACAGCAACGTCTGCAGGGCTCAATCCTTGGATCTTTTTCTCTAACTGTATTCTCTTTTGTTCATTTCATCCAACACCATCTGCATACTCTAAACTGGACATCTCTGACCCCAGATTCTTAAATTCAGTTGTCTAGTCAACATTTTCATTTAAAGTTCTAGTATCCCTCT